ATAAACAAAATTTAAAAAATTCCATAAGTAAATATTGAAAAATAATATTTATTAGAATTAACCTCTTAAGCAGCACGCTCGAGTTAAAACTCGAGCGGCGTATTATTTTGATATTTCTATGATTTTTTACACTCAAATATAATAGAAAATTGAAAATAAGAATGTGAAAGCAAAGAAGCAAAGAATCTTACGTTTTATTGATATTTTATTTATCATTTACAAGCTATAACAATTATTTATTTGTTAATAAAATATAACCTTTATTCATGGAACAAAATTCAAAATTAACATTAAAATATTGATTATTATTTCTGTATTTTTTTTTAAATTATTTTGTCAAAACAATGTTCTAAACTATGCTTTTATGAAAAATAACAAAAAAAAAAAAATGATTTTTTTTCGGCCGTTTTTTTTTTTATTTCAAAATACTTCCTGCTGAAGGGGTTAATTACAAGCATTGGTACAAATATTTGTGGAGTGCTAAAGGGTTAATATTTTTTGCGTGGAGTGCACAATTTGTAATTTTTAAGAGTATTACGAAGTAGTTTCATATATCGAAGCGTCTATCGTAACACTATGATTCGTCCCTTATCTTATTCCGTCCTAAATAAGATATCAAAAATTATTATAAATCGTGTGACGTGACTTAATGTAACAATTATGAGCGAAATGATGAAAAAAAAAATAATTTTCACTTTTTCAGAAATAAGTAATATAGTGAACATGACAAATTAATATTGTAACGATACATTATTCAAAATATCCACGTCTGTATCAGCCTATTTTATTTATAATAAGTTAGAATTTATTTAAAATATGTGTAGGTAGGGATCCTGTAGGAGGGATGCGCCATTCATATTCAGCTCATGTGCCATTGGCTGAAAATTTTGGGGGACCGCTTGAATTTATAATAATTTTTTCGTGTAACCTATCCTATTTTAATATAAATTTTTAATTATCATTAAATATAGTTCATTTTTTTTCTGTATTTGATGCAATTCATTATTTCATAATTATTTCAATGTTTGAATCATTCGCGCGCAAAATCGAGTTCCGGTCCCCCAGCAATGTACATGGCGCATCCCTCCTATAGGATTCCTATGTGTAGGTATTAGTTGTGCGATTTATCAAAGGACAATTGTGAAAAAGCGTATCTCGAGAATTGAATATCCGTGGATTAAAACAAAAAATAGAACATATAGTGGATTTTTACTGATTTATTGTCGTCATTTTAAAGGACATCGAAAATATCTTATCATTTCAAACTGTTCTACATCTCTCTCTCTCTCTCTCTCTCTTTAGAAGTGTAATATACATTATTTTTAATAGAATATAGTTATTTATTAATAAAACGACAGAAACCGTAGCTGTAGAGATCGTAGTCTTTACATAAAGTATTATTGTGTGAATTGGCGCCATTTTTAAAACGAATAAAACTAATTCTTGTATTAATACGGCGCGTGTAGTAATCTATAAATATATTAATACTAAATCATTTTGTTCTTAGTAGTAAATTTTGTTAATATTCACAAAGTAGTTTTCTTTACACTGATTTTTGACCTTGGTAGATTTAGAATCAATTAAAGTACTCGAAAAGTATTCAAACACTTTTACAAAAAGTTTCACAGTGTGACTTAAAATTATCAAGAATAAAATAATGTATTTTATTAACTTTAAAAACTTAATCATTTATTTATAATAAAATATAAATCTATTATCGCTATATTATTATTTAATCGGTAATGCAGAGATAATTAGCTTATTCAATAAAACTTAGTTGATAAGAAATAGAAACTGTATTATCAACAGAAGACTATACATAATACTAAGGAATCTATTTTATCGACTTCCTACTCAGTCGGTAATTCTGTTTGAATGTAGTAACTGAAATGCTAGTATGGAGGGTAGAAGCAAGGAGGACCAACTCAGTGTATTAAAAAGTGTCCGCTGAAAGGGAGCAAATTAAGGTGGCGCCATAGTAGCAAGTGGAAAGATTTTAAAACCAGCGCCATAAACTATTAGAGTAGGATATTAAATTAAAAAGGAAAGAAAGACTTGTGGGAAATCTAATGTCCGCGGGCCGAATGGCTAGTTACTGACCACCGTAACAACCAATGAGGAAGCCGGACACAACAAGGGATTTCACCTTTTTTATTTGCGATCTCTCAGAACAGATTTTATTACAGAAAATACAGAATTTATACACACACGCACAACGAGATACAGAATGATAAATTGATACGGAAGAGAGAGCAAGCGCAGTCGACTGACAAGCTTGGCGAGTGATATCTAACTCCTGTCGAGAAATCCGTTGGATCGATGATCTCTGAGAAGCGAGATGACTTGAAACAGCTGATCGGTGTTGCAATCTAATGCGAGCGTCGGACACACTCCCTTAATTCCATTCTGATGTAGTCAGCAGGGGTTTTGGGCTCGTGCGAGTCAAAATCTGGCGGAGAAACAGCGGCTGGCGGAGAAACAGCGGCCGGCAGCGGGGCAGGAGGAATCTGCCGGACGGCGGAGACGTCACAAGGCGAGATCCGTCGAAGAAGCTGCGACGATGTCTGGTCTTCCATGGTCAACCCTGAGAAATCCTTTTGAAGCCGCTGAACCTCGCCGAACTGAGCGAGGACCTGCGCTTTAAAATACTCATACTGCCCGTAGGGGGGAGTATTGACGATCACGTCTCTTAACTCATCCAATACACCGATGTCCGACATCACATGAAGAGCCAAACGATACCGTTCAGCTTCAGAACGAACATGAAGGAGGGAGAAAAATGATTCCATATGCAAGAACAACTTCTCCGGGTTTTGAAGCGAAAAGTTTTGCCAAACTGGGTTGCGCCTATATCTGATGTTGTCTGGAGCAAAGCTGATGGCTTTAGTGGGAGATAAATCCCCGGTGAGCCAACCTGGTTTAGGAGGAGCTCGAGTAAAGACTTGCGCGGGCGAACTTCTCGCCGCCGCCACGTCCGGCTGGCCGCCGGTAGCATGCTGCGAAGCTTCGGCCTGCCTGGTCGGCATCATCTCGCAAAAAAAAGCACACATGAAGTAAGAAAAAAGTCAAGGAGCGTACTTGCGAGAGTGGTGCGAAAGGAACAAAAAACAAAATGGCTGCCGAAGACAAGACCACGACTTGAAAGTGGCCGTTAGACGATGCCACGAATCAAGATGGCCGTCGAAGACAAGGCCACGATTGAAAAATGGCCGTTGAACAGGGCGAAACCAGGCAAGAGAAGATGGCCGATCAGAGGCGAAACCGAGCGAGCGAAGAGAAGCGAGAAAAAACACGTGGTCGAACTGGTTCCGGAGATCACGTTGGGGTCACCAATGTGGGAAATCCAATGTCCGCGGGCCGAATGGCTAGTTACTGATCACCGTAACAATCAATGAGGAAGCCGGACACAACAAGGGATTTCACCTTTTTTATTTGCGATCTCTCAGAACAGATTTTTTTCCACAAAATACAGAATTTATACACACACGCACAACGAGATACAGAATGATAAATTGATACGGAAAAGAGAGCAAGCGCAGTCGACTGACAAGCTTAGCGAGTGATATCAAACTAGTGCTGTCAGATCGTGGGTAAATCTTACCCTCTCCCTGTGCCACTGGGATTGCACCAATGAAAGTTTTCCACCGTGTGTTTGGAATTTCGAGGAAAGCCGAGTGAAACCGAAGTTGGCGGTTGGCCACGAAGTGGCACATTATGAAAGCGACTCGTGTCCATGTGTTCGGATGACACGAGTCGCTTTCATATTGGGCCACTCCGGCGTGCCCGCCAACTTCGGTTACACTCGACTTCTTTCGACATCCCAAACACACGGACATGGAAAACTTTCATTGTGTGCAATCCCAGTGGCACAGGAAGAGGGTAAGATTTACCCACGATCTGACAGGACTGGGATAGTCAACCATGGGGTGTCAGCACCGAGTAGGTGCGGGACGCCACAGACTTCTGCTTTGTTACCGCGCATTTTTAAATAGATTTTACAAAATCTAATATCTGTAAATAGTGATTAGAAAATATTTTTAAAAACTTAATGAAATTAAAAAAAAAACTAATTATTATTGTAATATACAAATTTGCAATAATTTAGGTACACAATTGTACCAACGTACTGTTGGTCGACACAAAGACAGAGGTTGAGACGTATCACTTTCTTTATTTATTTAATTTTCACCCACTTGAACAACTTTTCACTGAACAAAGCTTTCCCATTGTTTCTATATTTTTTTCACTTTGCATTTACAACGATAAATTCATAATAATAATTATAAATGTATCTACAAAAGTTTATAAAAATTGAATCACTATCCACGTTAGTTCAGCAGTTTTATAGGTTATATTTACTAAATTACATTTGACTACGTAAATAGTTGACGTTTTATAAACTGCAATATTTTTAACTACACTAGTCATCAGAGACATTACATTTTCCAACTCACACTTTATTTGTCACTTCACTCCGATTACAACTGCTAATTTCATATTCTTTCCTCTTGCTACGCTAGCGTTATTGTGGTGGGTTATTGAACTATAATTTGCTGCTTACAGCTGGACACTTTTTCAAATTTTCTCCCATAAGAGATGATACTCCTTATCTCAATCCTCCATACTTTCCATTCGTATTTGCAAGTTATTTTCCTATGTCGATTGTATGGTAAGTAGTGGTAAGGAGTAAAATCTCTTATGGAAGAAAATGAGAAAAAGTGTCCAGCGTTTTCTGTCAATAACAGTTCAAAAACCTTCCAGAATGGCGCTGGTGTAGACACTTGGTATGGTATGAATGTAGCAATTGTAAATGTATTGTAATTGTTTATTTCTCAATCCTATTCTAATAATATTTGGCGCTTCCTTTAAAATTTACCATATTGCTAATGTGGCGCCACCTCAATTGGTTAGATTTCGACGGACACTTTTCATATACAGAGATGTTACTCCTGAGATAATCGATTGGCCTCCTGTTATTTAGTTGCGTGATTCTTTGATTCAACTTTACAGGATCGTCAGTATATTACCAAATGGCGCTTTGATCGCTAAGGATTTTGATCCAAGATTTGTTTCGCTAATTTTATATATTCGTTGAAATTGTTTTTTTTTTTTCTGATAATTTTCAAACCTACATAAATTAGTTAACCTAAACTGTATATTAAGTGTTACTTGTTTACCGTTTGGTGTTATTGACATAGTGAAATAAAATAGAGAGAAGGTAAACAATAATAAGATTATCATTTGCAAACATTTAAATGTGTTGATATATCGTTTAAAAGAAAATACGTTTAATGATAATTGTGTATAACATTGGAAATATTGAAGCATTCATTTTGTTACTTTGTATAGTTACAATGGTCATGGAAGAACACCATTCTGATATGGAATTAGCAGCAGAAAAGATTCCAGTACCGCAAGTACAAAAACCAATTGAAATGCCATCAGTCGAAACAAAAAATCAAGTTAAAGGTATATCACATAATAAACCAAGATTTAGAAAAACGGCATTGCACGCAGCTATACTCAAACAAATGGAATTTTATTTTTCCGATGCAAATTTAAGTAAAGATCGATTTTTGGGAAATCTTATTAAGGAAGATCCATGTAAGAATAAACTTGATTTAATATCTTATATCAATTTGTAAGATTGAAGTTTTATTTAATCAATAAACTAATATTGAAAATGATATATTATTTTTTTTTTATAGATATTGATCTCAGTGTCTTTACTAGATTCAACAAAATCCGAGAATTAACGACAGATATAAACAGGATAGCTAAGGCACTCGAAAAATCAACAATGTTATCTATTTCTGAAAATGGTTTAAAAGTTCGTCGTATAACTCCAATTAAACAAAAGGAAAATACAGAAGATTGTACAGTGTATGTTCAAAATTTACCACCGGGTACTACTCATGATTGGTTAAATTCTATTTTTTCTCGTTATGGAAATGTTGCATATGTTTCCTTACCTCACTACAAGATCAATAAAAAAATAAAAGGATTTGCTTTTATAGAATTTGATACACCAGAAGAAGCTGAAGAATGTCTCAAGGTAAATAACATGAAATAAATATTATTATAGTTATTTCCAAATTTTATTATAATTATAATGTCAATGATTTACATTTTAGGATTTTAAAAAAATGGATTGTCTCTTACCGTCACATTCAGATCCTGATGAAATTTTAAGTATTACTACTTTTGATAATACTGAAAAAGATGTAACTAATACAAATAAAGCAATAAAAAGGAAACAGGATGAAACTAACTCGTCTAATGATATAAATTCAGATGTAAAGATGTCTCGTATTATCGAAATGAAAAGTGAAAAGAATGAGAATAAACTTGTTAGTTCAGAAAAAAATAGCACTGAGCCAAAAAAGATTAAAAGAAAACACAGTTCTGTAACTGATGAAGATACTAAAATTGCAGATGACAAGATTGTTTTAGTAGAACCAGACAGTAAAAAATTAAAAAGATACAATGAACATGAAAATGAAACTACCAATAATCATTCATGTGAAATTGAACCTCAAGATGAAACTACAAATAATCATTCATGTGATATTGAACCACAAGATGTAATCTTCAATGAGAATAATGTCTTACAAAAATCAGATGAAATGAATTTAGACGAATCGAGTGAAGAAATAAATGAATTATCCAAAAGACCAAAGAAAAAAATTAAGAAATCTAAATCCGAAAATGACATTAATGTTAATGAAATTTCAAACAATGATGTTAAGAGTGTAGATGTAGTTACAGAAAATGTTGAAACAACTGATGATGTTGTCGATAATAAAAAACCTGCAAAGGATAAAAAAATGAAACGTAAACGTAAGAGAAAAAGTAGGATTGATGATAATAATATAAACAATATGGGATTACAAGTAATGGCTAAAAAACATTGGAAATATTTAAGAAATAAATATTTAGAATTGCAAAGAAGCAAAATGAAACAATTGAAGCAACATTTGAAAAAGACTAGAAATCAGTGGAACAATTTTGATAAGACAAAATCAGATAAAGAAGAAATTGAAGAGAAAGAGAAAATATCTAACGTAGACAAGACTACTATGCGTTCATTTTCTTTTACACCAGGAGTAATAGTAAAAATTAAATTGGATGAACCATGTACGGATACGAAAAGTTTCAAGGTTTGTACAACATAACGTTTATTGTATGACATTAATTATTTTTCTAAAAAAATATTTAAATATTATATATTATAATTATAAAACAATTCAAAGCATTTAGTAAAATTGAATTATACAAAACAATATCATTTAGGCGGAGTTGAAAGGTAATAACAGTGTAAAATACATAGACGTATCAGAAGGTGCAAGTGAAGCTTACGTTAGATGTGACACACCAGAATCAGCTCAATCATTTGTTCAAAAATCTAATACAGAAAATAATATGGTTATACTGAAAGGTGAGATTTTGTAATATTTTGTAAATATATGTAAAATATATTATACAAATTAGTACAACAAAGTAACATCACTTTATTGAATCATTACAGACGAAGATGAACGTATCTATTGGGACAAAATATTGCGAGATAGAGAAGAAAAATTAGGTAAAAAGGTTCGAGTTAAACAAAGGGGAAGAAGTAAACTTCTTAAGAAAGCAGAGAAAGAATTAGGAAAACATATAATATTTGATGAAGTTGATTAAATTTATGATTTCTTGTGTGTATCGTAAACATATGTTCTTGAAGATATAAATGAAAATATTTTTTTTGGTTGTTATGATATACATTAAATATTACTTTTATTTACGCTATAATAATTAACGCATTGAATGCGGAGTTGAGTTGATTTTGTACTACTTTTCGTTTAAACATCACACTGCAACTATCACTCGGTAAGATGCTTAGTTATAAAAAGTGTAAATAGAACATAACACACACCGTCGCAGTAATGATTATGTTTTATTGTCCTTTTGGGGCTACAGGAATAGAGCAGCCAATGTAAAAATGTAAAAAAAATATAAACAACAAATAATCACTATCAATTCCCAAGAAATTCTACCAAACTTTTGTAAAAATCAGGTCCAAAATTTCAAGCAGCGAAATAGAAGTCTATATAGTAATAAGAAAATATACAGAATGTGTAATTACTTTTGGTTATGTTGAGAAATCTTTAATACAAACGATTAAAGATTATAAAATCAAATGAATAATAATTAAAATTATACAATACTTTATATTTGTTTTAGTTCAAATACATTTTTATATATAAAAATTAATGTCATCTTATCTAAAATATCTTACAATTTACCATCTTCCTCTACCACGTCCTCCTCTACCAGAATCACGTCCAAATCCACCACCACCACCTCGTGAACCTCCTCTAAATCCTCCTCCTCCTCCTCCTCTACCACCACCACCGCCACCACCTCTACCGAACGAACTTCTTCCTCCTCCTCCTCCTCCTCCTCCGCCTCTACCACCTCGTCCACCGCGTCCTCCTTTACTCACACGTCCACCACTGACACCTCCTCTCTTTTTTTCACCTGGAGGTTTCGGTAAAAACCTTTGCAAAGGTAACAATTTTGCTGGATCTATGAAAAGCTGAAATATAAAGTATGTTTTTTAATAAATAATTATTAATCAAATGATTGATTAGTGTACATTAGGGTGGGTCAAAAATATCTTTTCAACGCTTAATTTAATCGCCAAAACATAAGACACCATTTTTATAGAGTTAGAAAATTCATAAACAAAAATGAAATTTGTCTGAAAATAATCAAACTTAAATCTTCAATATCATTCAAATGGTGAGATTTACGGAAAAAATATAAGATAACTTTTTTGTAGAGCATTAAATTTCCTACAAAATTTGTCTAGAACATTTTTCTGTACAATCAATTAATGATGAGGTATGAATTTTATTCTATTGGACTGAGAAAAAATTGATTTTTTTGACCCATCCTATTGTACACATATATAGGAAAAAAGTCTTACCTGTGTATTCTTTTCAAAACTAGATGCTTTAATGTTTTCTGATAATCTTATTGATACATAATAATCTCTAATATTTCCAAATATTTCATCTATCTTTCCTATTTGTTGTTTATTTTCTGTAAAGATAGGTGCATTGAAAAAGGGAACTTGTTCAATATCAACTTTTGCAACAAGATCATCTTGTGCAGTCCATGTAAAACGACCTAGTGGAGAGATTGTTTCAGGAGGGCCTTGATCATACCTAGAAGCATTTATAAAACTAAGTTATGAAAGAAATAGAAAATCAAATAAACAAAACATATTATATGGACCATTCACAGACAGGCGTAAGTAATTAATTCCAATTAGAAACCTTTTTTACAATAGTATTATCACACACATACACCGCTTGATTAATTATTAAATTATTACCCTCTTGAACCTCTATCTCCACCACCTCCACGTCCGCCTCTACCACCACGAAATCCTCCACCTCCTCTTCCAAATCCTCCTCCACCACCTCTACCAAATCCTCCACCGCCACCGCGACCACGAAATGACATATTGGTATTTTTCTGTAATAAAAATAATTCTTTAAAATAATATGTTTCATTATTTTTATTTTTATTTTTTTTTATAATAAAAGCTAGTTTGACGAAAACAAAAATTGTTTCTATGTTAAACATCAAACTTTTTAACCCACTCACGTATACTAACTAATACAGTAATAATAAAATCTAAAATAAAATATTATATTCATAATTCAATTTTTAGGTTAAGTTTGGTTATGGATACTAAAGAATATATTTTCACATATTTTTAACAAAATATTTCATTAATTTATATATATACATATATATATCACTTGGGTGATGTGTAATTAAAAATTGTTTATAAATACCTGTTATAAAATAATATTATTTTATGTAGAATAAACCACGTGTACTGCTGATCTTAAACACAAAAACAAACGAAATAAACTGACACGAACTGTTATGAACTTATCAATTATTAATGTATTATTTTATATAGTTTTTTATAGTGTAAAAATTTAACATTAATATAAAATAATAATATATATTTAATTCAACGCTAATTGGCATACATGATGATAATATTTGTAGAACTTAATAAACGATAAAGTAAGATTATATCTATTTAATTTTATTGGTGTTTTTCGTCATTACGTCACGCCATCTATGACACGTGCAATGCACCTTTAAGTACAGAATAGTTTTTTAGTTAGAAAAAAAATAAATACAAGAAGAATTTTCTTTATTAGATTTATTACTACATATCATTATTAATATAATTGGTAAATAAAAAAATAATCTCATTTTGAATTTGATCATATTACAAACAGTAATTTGTATATCTAGTTGTGGCAACCCTGATCACAGGGTATTCTGGTTGTCACGGAGGATAGATATACTAACACAGAGAGTCTTTGCGTTACATTGTGAAATACTGTCAAACATTGCCAAACATCGTTTGAGGTTTCTAAAAATTTCCTTAAACTTTTATTTAATTTCACGTTTCAACGCAACAAGACTTCCCGCGTAAGTATTTAAACGAGTACTCTGTGAAAAGCAGCGCGCCCTACTGGCAAAATATCTTGTCTCCTAAATTGATACCGTTCTTTCAACATTACGTTCGGACTCCTGGTATCTATCCTCCGTGATACAAAATATGAACTGTGTACAATCTTTTTGTAGGTTAAGTTACATTAAATTAATTTTATAGAAAAGAAACGTGTGTGTATATAATATATATATATATATATATATATATATATATATATGTAAAGAGAATATACTCTTTTCAAAATTTAGCGCGCTTGATATGCTCTGCGCGCGCATTACGTCACCTGATAGCGGCCTCGTCGAGTAATCGAGGATATGGCAGAAATAATGGTAAGTCAAAAACAGATAGATAGAACAAAAGAAAGAACACGTGTTAATAAAAGTTATTAAGAATAAATTATTATAATTCAATTATAAGTTAGAGTTGTAAAGAGAGACGAATAATTGACTTTAATTGTCGTTTCTCTTATTTTACAGATAATTGGTGAACTTTGTATGTGTATATATTGTAAATAATAACATCAGTTAAAATATAACCTCTTATTTTACAGAGAAACAAATTTGGTTACTTATTCTAACAACTCTATAATATAAAATAATATTATAAAATGACAATTTTCGTGTCAAAATGAGACTACAATTTGAATTTAAAGCTGTGGCTTCTCCAAGGGATAGTAAAACTACAGTGACAGCCGTCATCTCAGTGGCAACAGAACAAAGAGAAAGGTATGCTATACCAGGAGAATATATTTATGGAGATTTTCATAAAGAGCTGCTGGGGACGGACGCTTTTAAAAAGGTAACTGAGTCATTAGAAAGACGGCATGATGAAGTGAGGTTATGGATAACAACGTCAAAAGAATTGAAAAAGATATATGTGGATGATGAAGGAAACATGCATTTTGGTGGAAGATTTTTAAAACAAATAGCTAGAGAAAGTAATAAAGAAAACTCAGATTTGACAAGAATATTGAAACAAATTGTGAAAAAATTTGCGTTAGGAAAATTTAACTATACAACATGTAATTTGAGACAATGGTTAGACACATTTGAAATGGAATGTGATAGATTTAGTATTGGAAAAGACAAAACCAAAATTGAATTATTGAGATCACTTTTAGATGAAAATCTGCAAGATTGGTATACTTCTACAGTAATAAAAGAAGAAAATGAAAATGATTGAAATAAATGGAAACAGGTATTAAAAGAAACCTTTTCGTGTAAAGGATGGAGTAGCAGAGCATATGCTCATTACTTTAAGTACAAAGAAGGATCACTAGTACAATATGCAATAAAAAAAGAACGATTATTATTAGAGATAAATAAAGATATGGATTCAGATACAATAATAGATAGGATTGCATTTGGTTTGCCAGAATTTATAAGAGACAAAATTGACAGGGATGAAACAACAAATACAAATGATTTAATTAATGAATTACAAAAGCTCGAAGGAACAACAGATGGAAGGAAAATATACAAAAAAGAAGGTAAATCAGAACAAAGAGTTAGAAATGAAGAAAAAAAACCGTGCAAGACATGTGAAGATATGGGTAAAGGTGTAAGATACCACTCAGAGGAAAAATGCTGGTTTAAACTAGAGAAGAAAGAAAATGCTAAAGCTATAGGAAGCAATTCAGTACAATTCCAAACAAAGATAGAACACTTAAACAAAGATAAAAAGACTAATGTTTGCAAAAGACTAATACGACGTTGGAACTGTTAGTGAATATGAAGCTAGAATTGACTTAGTAGTGGAGAAATACAGCAGTAAAAGACCATATAGATGCAATATGGAGGACAAAAAAGAAATAGAAAAACAAATAGTCAAAATATTATAGAAGAATTTAATTGAAGAATCTTATAGTCCCTTTGCTGCACCTGTCACGTTAGCATAGAAAAAAAAATGAAGGAAAGACACGTATGTGCATAGACTTCAGAGATTTAAACAAAAACATTGTACCTCAAGCACAACCATTTCCTTTAATAGATGATACAATAACAATATTATATATATATATATATATTTTTTTTTTTAGTCAATCTTATAAAATGATTTTTATTTTTAGATATAAATTATACTCAGATAATGATTATTTTATAACATGATTTTATTTTTCATCTTCTAGTTTACATCTTCATCCTTTAAAATATTATAGTTATTTTTCATCAAAATTAGGTTAATAATTAATTTTTGAATCATATCAGGTATTTATTCTATTTTGAATATTTTTCTCTAAGGATTAGAGAATATATCCTCAATTTACAAATGTTGTAAGATTAAATTTTCCCATGAATATTTAGCTTTACTATCGATGACATCGGTTTGAATATTTTTCTCTGCAAGTGTCTGAGTATATTGATTATTTAAAATTAGACATTTTTTTCTACACGCTTGTTTTTCGCACAATCCATTATAGTTGTAAGTGTTTTTATTATTCTCATCAATAACAACAGTGTTTTCATATCGATGAATATTGGGTGAAAATATTACTCCGTTCCAATAATCTGCATCATTGTTATTTTCCAATGCTACTTGTGTTCCAGTACCTATGATTTGCCAAGAGTATTTAACTTCACATTTATTATTAGAAAATTGTCTTTGATTTTCTTCTAGGATGTTATCTAACAAAACTTTTGAAGTTTGCGAGCTTGTGCCTATAATCTGCCATGAGTATTTTATTTTACAATCATAGTCAGCTTTCATGTATCGTTTGTTTTCTTCTACCTTGCATGCTCCAATTAAGCAAGCATTTTTTTCAGGTATACATGTACGATTAATGTTTTCTAAAGAATAACGAACTTTGTATGAATTATTCTTTACATTGTTAGAAAATTTATTTTGTCTGATATGCAAATCTGAATGACTTGTTTTTATATCAGAAATGTATTGGGTAGATCTATTATATTGGATTACACTCATTGATCTTTTTATGCCTTTTTTTTCTTCTATACTGCAACATAAATTACACACTTTAGGATAATACATTTGTAATAATTGCGTTTCGTTTTCATAATTGACAATTTTCATCATATGTTCACTATAACTGTTATACAATCTATTTTTTACTTTGTCTTCTTTTCTATTATCATTAGTGCGTAAATCAGGTGTAATCAAATTGCAAAGAAATGATTGATACATTGGAGGAATTAATAAATCTTTCTTATTATTATTAGTTTTCATTTCTAAAAACATTAATTCAGCAGTTTTGGGTAGATTCTTGTTTTCTATATGATTAAGATTTGATATTACAGATTTCATATAATTTCTATTTGTTCTTTCTTTCTCTTGTTGACAACAAATATTTGAAGTCATTGGCAGTGACATCTTGGATTTATGTAATATATTTTTATTTTTATTAAGTAAAGTGTTTTTCTTAGCAGAAGATTGGGCTTTATCAGATGATTTTTTATGTGCTTCCTTATTTTGTTGTTTATCGGTGTATAATTCTAATGTAGAATTAGGAAAGGATTCTTTATAATAATTAATGACTTTTTTTGGGGAATAATATTTACTACTGTCTGATGAATTTATCGTGTTTGGAAACGTTAAAGATTTAATTTGATTCTTGTCTGTTAATCTTCTTGATTTATAAGATTGCTTTGTAGAACTAGAGATATAATTCTTTTGTAAATCTAATTCATCTTGACTAATTTTGTTTGGATGTTGCATCTTGTATGACTTGTTGTAAATTGGATTGTATACCTAAGATATTTGAATTTATAAACTTATTATGATCATATCAATGAAAGCATAGTATTGAAAGAAATATTTGATCTATTATGCTTATAGGAGAAGCAGAGGGAATAGCGCTCTCACTGGATCATGGCGCTCATCTCTGTAACTTCTAATCTACTTGTCCTCTAACAGGTAGCGATCATATCAATGAAAGCATAGTATTGAAAGAAATATTTGATCTATTATGCTTATAGGGGAAGCAGGGGGAATAGCGCTCTCACTGGATCATGGCGCTCATCTCTGTAACTTCTAATCTACCTGTCCTCTAACAGGTAGCGATCATATCAATGAAAACATAGTATTGAAATAAATATTTGATCTATTATGCTTATAGAGGAAGCAGGGGGAATAGCGCTCTCACTAGATCATGGCGCTCATCTTTGTAACTTCTAATCTACCTGTCCTCTAACAGGTAGCGATCATATCAATGAAAGCATAGTATTGAAAGAAATATTTGATTTATTATGCTTATAGGGGAAGCAGGGGGAATAGCGCTCTCACTGGATCATGGTGCTCTATAACTTCTAATCTACCTGTCCTCTAACAGGTAGCGATCATATCAATGAAAGCATAGTATTGAA